ATTAGATCGAAAATGCTTTTAAACAGGCCCAGTCTCCAGAAGGAGTTCAGATGATTTCTTTTCGTAGCACTGAGATTATTATCTAGATTTGTGTCTAAGGTTTCATGGGCATGGTTTTTCATATCATCCACTTTGCTTCGTTGATTAATGTATTCGTTTGTTTATTTGCAAATAATACACTCGGAAGCGCTTGCTAAATTTCAGAATTAAACCAACTGATTCATCTCTGCCCTACGGTAATAAATATTTTTGGAATAATTTTATTGACAAATTCCATAAATGTGTTCTTACAAATATAAATATTATCCTCAATATGCACAATTTCACTTTTAGCCATTTAAGTTTCTGGTTAAAATCAATGGGGGACAAAATTCTATAGCTGATTAAAAAGGTTCTTGACATACATGCATACATACATACATACATACATACATACATACATACATACATACATACATACATACATACATACATACATACATACATACATACATACATACATACATACATACATACATACACGTACGCACGCACATGTACGTACGTACATACATACATACATACATACATACATACATACATACATACATACATACATACATACATACATACATACATACATACATACATACATACATACATACATACATACATACATACACGTACGCACGCACATGTACGTACGTACATACATACATACATACATACATACATACATACATACATACATACATACATACATACATACATACATACATACATACATACATACATACATACATACATACATACATACATACATATCGGATGGCAATGAACCGTCATCATTGCTTTATCATATGTTCCGTTTGTTTCAGTCAGTTAAATAGATCACGTGTTATCAAGTTAAAGGTAAAAGATCGTTCTTACCAAATTTAAATTCCTCATCTTCCAATGTGTAAATAGTTTAAAATATAGTTTTCTACTTTTTTTTATAGAATATATTAGGATTCATTTTTTTGATATTGTTTGAATAACCCCAACATCGTGTAATAGCTATTTTTGTTAGGATTTTATGCCTTGTAATTTTTTTTTATATTTGTCGTCAGCCTTGAAAAATGTATCCATAGATCACGAGAGCGCTTGGCCAGTTTCTCATATTGCGCCTATATGTAAACACATACATTGTGGAGTCTGAACAGTGAATCGTCGTCTATAGAGGATGACCTGGAATAGAACAGTTTCCATACATTAGGAAAATAAATTGTGAAAAAAAAAGAAAATAGTGCACATTATCAAAGTGAACAACTAAGACAATAGTGCACATTATCAAAGTGAACAGCTAAGGCAATGGTACACATTATCAAAGTGAACAGCTAAGGCAATGGTGCACATTATCAAAATGAACAGCTAAGACAATAGCGCACATTAGCTTTCATTGACTGAATAGCTATTAATTTGGGACACCGATGGCGACAGTTACCTTTAATCCGTGGAGAAACATTTTTTTTTTTTTTCATTTGTTGAATACTTATGATGATAATTAATGACATTTTGTGACATTATAAATTTTCTTGTAATTTTCTAAATTATACAATTATCTTTCATCATCTAAATTTTATCCGTGATGAAAAAGAATTAAATTACGGTTAAATGGTGATTATTATCCTGCACGTGGAAGTAATTATTTCATTCGTTTCAAAATTAAAATGATTCACTATTTTATGACAGATATTAATTTCTTTTCATTAAAAATCAGTCTAATTTCTAAGAAAATATCTTTTAACGCAATTAAAATAATTTGTCCACGAAAGTTAATTTTTCTTTCTTCATGCATGTAATTATTATTATAGTTTTCTACGTGAACGAAATTGTATTTGCCGGGAAGAAAATCTGTTTTACCATAAATAAAATTCATAGAAGTGAACGATAATTGTATCACATACCGTTTGTGATACGATGAAAGATAATTGTGTCCCATACGATCAACCAATCGCACGAGTTTTTGATCACGGAGTACATTTGGTTTGCATATTATGTTGCAGACAATCTGTAGTTATTGACTGTATATAGAAAAAAAGTAATCCTATGACAAAAATCAGACAGCAGATTTCATGTTTGAAATTCAATACTTTCCAACAATCTTGTCTCCTGACAATGTGAAAATGACTTTTACACTAATAAACTACAAGGCTGGTCCAGAGTCAGTCCGATAAATCATCCGCCAAATCTGTATTTATATTGATGGACAGTTTATATTGGGAATGGGGTGGGTGTTGTATTCACTATGAATTCTAGTAAGATTTTAAAATTAGTGTCTACAAGATTGTTTCCAATTTTTACTTTGCAAACGCTGGGAGAAAACCATCACATAATTGCAACGTTGGGAGAAAATCAACACATAATGGAAACGTGTATTTTCTGCAACTACATTAGAATCTAAAGCAAATTTCCATTGTTAAAAAAATGCCGATAGTAAAACCTTTACATAATGCAGTCAATTATTTGTATCGGCAATTAGATTAAAATCGAAACCAATTTTAAAGTACTGCTAATAGTTCAGAACATAGTAAATAGTTAAATATTTATTTAGTAAAATAATTCCTAGCAGCAACCAAAGCAACTTAATCTGTCAGTCATACTTTTGAATGAAATTCTATTTGAGCTCGTATGGAAAGGATTGAACGCCACACCTCCTAGCAGACTGTATCTAACTGGTTTTTCCGTCTGATTGATCAAGCAGTTTGACTGATCTTAAAATACAAATGAATCATATGCAGTGTTGATCCAATAATTTTAATTTTGATATGATCTCATATCCCTCCCCCCACATACACACACACACATGACATTAAATGTTCTTAATTTAAAAAAAAAATATTTGATCAAGCACTGGCCAATCACATCTCTCTCTCTCTCTCTCTCTCTCTCTCTCTCTCTCTCTCTCTCTCTCTCTCTCTCTCTCTCTCTCTTTAAATTCTACTTAGTTGTTTAATTTTTCTCATTGGCTTACAGTTGACTTATTGCTGATCAAATGATGAACTTGAATCTGCCGAGATTCACGGACTTGTTTTTGTTTGGTTTTTCTTCCTGGCACAAGAGATTGCACAATCAAGACCGAATAACAAATAGACTGGTGTGCAGCTCTGTTGAAACTAACGCAACCAACCTCGCAGTTAGTTTAACAAGTAGTGCTAAATGTTACTTCTGAAGTTTACCAAAATTAGTCTCATAGTTATGGGCCTTGTCATTGCTGAGATAACAATATTTGCTCTGGACCTTTCGGAGTCTCAAATTTCATCATGGTTTCCAGCATAAAGATTTGACAAGTTCGAAGAATAGTGATTAATAATCCAACGATTCGTTGATCAGTGGGTTCGTAAACTCCAAAGTTAGCAACTCCAAACGTCAACAATCATAATATATTTAAAAAGGGGTTCACAAGTTCGATAATATTTGAAAATGGGTAATACATATATTTTTGTTGGTCAAAAGGGTCATTAGTCCGCACGAATCTGAAAGAAAATTGGTCTAAAGATATATTTACCCTAAATATACAAGAATATAAGTTAATTTGTATAGTATTGATGTTGAACAAAATCCGAAAAGATTTTAAGAGTCCAAATTTTGATTCATTATTTAAACGATTTTTAAAACCATACATGCTTTTATCGTAATTTTTTAAACGTTCACTCAAAACAATTTTATTTTGAGTTTTCTTCTTCTAAAGTCGCGAACTAAAACAAAAATGTTACTACTGCATGGGCGTATTAAGCATCGGTAGTATCATCAAATTAAACATCGGTAGTATCATCAAATTAAATAATGGTTGTATCATCAAATTAAATATTGGTTGTATCATTAACATGTAAAAAAGGAATTTCCGATAAATGTTTGTAAAATCTGTAGAATATCGTGATACTTAAAAAGTACAGAAAACGCGTTTGATACAGTTAAAGATAATTTTAAGATTGTTAACATTTCAGAAATAATAATTCTTAAAATCTGAACTTGTCTCTATTTGAATATTTTATTACCTACTAAAACTGAGTAAGCAGAGGTCCAGAACCAAGGAAACCATCAATGACCCAACACCAATTATTGGAAATTTACAAAAGGAGAAAGAAAACGGACATTTGTATACGGATGTTTAGGGAAATCCCTTTTGGGCCGCTGACGGCTGATTTGTCTAAAGCGCTCGCCTTTGCTGATCATTGCTATCTCACCTTGTCCGCGTGGGTTGGAATCTCGGTTTTAACCAATGTGTGTATGTGATAAAGTTTGAGAGTAGCTTCCCGTGGTCGGTGGTTCCAACCGGGTTTATGCGGTTTTCCTCCACCAGTTATACTAACCGCCTAGCCCTAGACCAACAAGTAGGTCTCTGCTTGTTTTTTTGTTCTGACTGCTGCTGTCAGAAAAAACAGTAGAGACCTACTTGTTGGTCTAACTGGCCGCCATGTGTAGCATATCATAAGCTGAGAGAAGACATTAAACACAATACCACAACAAATTCTTCATATTTTGACCCATGGTATTAAATCCTTCAGAACACTATGTTTTTGTAGTTTTAATCCCTGTCACCTGTATATCCATCATTTAAAGACCTTAAATCTGACTCGTGCATGGAAGCAGCAAGGTAAGAGTAACGCGCCTAGCTTGGACACTATCACTAGGAACTCCATGCCTTACTCTTATCCTCTTACCTTCTCAAGGAAGGTCTAATGAAGCAGGATTTTACTTACCATCTGTATATAAAGGTCGGTCATTAGTCTGGGCAGAGTGTGTGTGTGTGTGATTTCGATATTTGACATAGCTTGAACAATTTTTCAGTCACATCGCTACAATGTTGGCAATGCGACAGTTTATAGTTATATCTAGCACAGGGGCATCATGTCGCTAACAAATAGTAATATGTCCCATCCAGTCACATTATCCTGACATCCGATCAGTCATAGCACTAACCTTATAATGTTGAGCGCCAAGTGAGGCAGCTGCTAGTACATTTTTATAATTCTTTGGTATGACTCAGCCAGGGTTCGAACCTACGAGCTTCCGCATCATAGGCAGATGCTGTAACAGCTTAGGCCACTGGAGTGACCTATCTGGGTGGAAAAGCCAATTTCAAAATAGTGCCTTGCACAGTTGCTCCCCTCCTTAAGAAATAAAGGAAAGTGGATATTTATATGTGTGTTGGCTAATATGCCTATATGACATAAAGTCCCTACCAAAAATGGGTATTATATTTTCATCTATTGTGCATGTATTTTTTTTATATTAAAAAAAAATAATATATTGTTTGAACTTCCTTATTTTGCTAATGAGGACTCTTCTGGGAAATGAACCATAAGATCCAGTTAAATAAATCTGGGCTAATACTTACTCTTTCATTCAACTTGAACGTTCTATCGAACATTCTGACCATAAAACTCTTCTTTCAGGCTAATTAACTTTTTAAAAACAAAAAAAAAGTTCTCTCTCGGATTGTGACTCTTCGAACATAGTAAATTTTCATATAGATTAAAGAATCTTTGGGCTAACACAGCTTCGTTCTAGTAAGCCTTTGGAACATTTAACCCTTCCTTCAAACCAATGAACTTTTCGACTAACGTACCTTCGGACCACTGAACCTTCAGAGCATTGAACCCCTTCTTTTGGACTGATGACCATGTTAGACAATGAACCTTAACTTCTACCAAAGATTCTTCGGACTATGGAAACTGTAGTGTATAATACTTATACCATATGATTACTCCTTCATTTGTTCTCATTTCAATCCACATATTACAAGCATATTTGTGAACATTCATTCATTTTTCAAGGGTGATTGTATGTATTTGTGCAAACACCCATACTCTTGTATATCCTTTCATCTCATACATGCTGTAAGTATGTAATGTTTGTGTATATTCCTATCCGTTTCTCTCCTTAAATTTAACTGCTTGGGTTATTGGGATAAGGTGGTAATTTTGCTTACACGGCTATGAAAGTCACAGGATTACAGGGGTAGTAGGGGAAATTTTTAGTTCTGTTTATAGTTTCACATCTTTTATATCTTTTTATGTAACTTATTAGCCTTTGATTGTGCAAATGTAAGTGATTGTCTAGTGGTGTTGTTCTGTGGGCATTGCATTTTTAAACCCATGTATGTAACAAATGTTATAATTTCCATTTTACCCATAGCGTCTTTTTAAAAACCAATTGTTATAGCGTCAATATTAAATTCCCCTTGAGGTTATAGGGTCACATTGATGTTAAACTTATGGACTTTTAACATGGAATTCCTGTTAGAGGTCATAAATACACATTTAAAAAATGGCAGTCTAATGTTAATTTCTCTGGTACTCCAACTAACGTGTGAAGCGATATCACTAAACTATACTACTGTCAGTTCCTTCCTAGGATGATTGTTTACTATCTCAAAATGAATTTTCAAATTTTAAAAATTTTGGATATAAAGTTTGTCTTAGCAAGGAGTTGCTAGCAGGTTAATGCAAATTAAATTGATTAAATAACTAGACATGTTTTTATACATATGCATTTCAAGTCATTATATATATATATATATATATATATATATATATATATATATATATATATATATATATATATATATATATGGACTATTCTATGTACAAGTATATTTCAGTTTTTATTAAATGTTCAAAGTTTCTAAATTTAATTTTTCTCATTTGAAAGCTTTGTCACCCAAACCATACTGTACAAAGTAATTTAAAGAAATATATACACGTAGATGACCTGGTTAGATATTGAAACATGTTGAGTATGACCTCTTTGGTCAAAAGTCAGCTCTGACTGGATTATATATTTCATCTCAGTCAGCTTGTTTATCTATATATATTTCTTCTTTCTAGAGGTCAATGCAGGTTGAATTGTGTGTAGTAATGTCTTTTGAGAGAGAGAGAGAGAGAGAGAGAGAGAGAGAGAGAGAGAGAGAGAGAGAGAGAGAGAGAGATATGCAAAAGGAAAAGCTAATGCTCAAAATAAACTCTTCAAAAAGTGTATACTGCCCTCAAGTCACTCAAACTGAATCAATTATATTAATAGGAAAATTGAACCAGCGGTCCTGGTCATCAACAATAAACTTAGAAACAAGTTGTGCTTCAATGTTAACAGTCTAATTTGAACCCAAACAAACCCTCTGGATAGTATGTACTTCTGAAAGAGTAACATATAACATGAAGTTGACAGCATATACAACATGCACAATGGAGAGAATGTTGATATACCTCTATGTTACATTCATGTATTGTAGTTGAAATGTCTTCACATACTTTATTTGTGGAAACTGTACATGATCAAAGCACACAGTTAAACAAAATGTCTGCTGTCATGTGCTAGAAAAATCAGCCTGAATTAATCTAAAACATCTTTGGCAGTTACTAAAATTGGAGAAACATTTTTTTTCTTCACTAGATAATACAAGCTTCTGAAAGTGAAATGAATGAAATATAAAATGTATCAAAAGTTCAAAATGTTTTCAGCTGTTATTTTTACCAGAAATGACTAAGTGGAGCTAGCAGTTATAGATAAATACACGCACACACACACACACATATATATATATATATATATATATATATATATATATATATATATATATATATATATATATACACACACACACACACATCTGTGGTAAGGCCAAGCTGCATACTCTAGAATCCATATTACATCCATTAATTATGAACCAAAATGACAGGAATTAAAAGTTCTTTTAACAACACCTGAGAAATATACTGTTTTTTTCTTTTTAAATTCCCAGCAAGGAAAATATGGAAATTCTTTTTCTTAAAAAATATATCTCTTTAAAGTATGAAACTGCAGTGAGCCACCAAAGAGCAAAAGTAAACCAAAAACAAAACAACAAACATCAAATTACAAAAGGGACCAACCATTTTAATCTTATTTGGGGTAAGGAGTTGGGTTTTTCTTTCCTTTATCTAAAAATAATTTATCTAATTTATTATGAATTTATTTCTTTTACTAATAAGAATAAACATATTTTTTGTTCAAACCATTTTTGGGCTGGTAATGAATTAAAAATAAATAATCCAAAATCTAAGGTGCCCACCACCTTAGATTAGAGGATCAGTTCCTTGTAAATAAGCGAAATCCATTTATCAAACATTATCTCACTGAAAAAGCAACAATGTTCTGTATAATCTAAACAGAACTATAATGATCAACTGACTGGTTTTACACTGGAATTATTTAAAAATTTTAACTGTTAATACCGCATTTATGTATCCCACATGTACTTGTCATTATGTTCACCAAGCTTTTGATAAGGTTAATCACAACAGTCTCATTCTTAAACACCTCAGGATTGAAATTATTTTACAAGACAGTAAACTGGATCAGATCATTTCTATTCAATAGATCACAAAATGTGGCTATGAAACGAGCCCACTCAGACAAATATGAGATCTGATATAGTGAGAAAGCCTGCCAGTAGCTTCTCATGAGTCGGTGGTTCTTTCCGGGATTTTACAGGGTTCTTCCTCCACCATTAATACTGGCCGCCATGTATAGCCTATCTTGTGCTGAAAAATGGCGTTAAACCCTATAACAACAACAACTTAAAACCTACACAAACTTGAAAAAAGGGAAGATAATGTAATTCAATCCAAAAAAATGAAATAACTCAAAATCTTCCCTTATAAACTATATGGCCATTTATTAAAATCTACTTTGTCACTGAGAATAATCATGTTGCATGGAAGCCACACACTAACATCAAAAACAAGGGAAATAACTTACTTCAAGTTCTCAAATGTAACCAGGATATCAGAAGCATCAACTGAGACAAACAACATACCAAAGCACAACTAGAATGTAATTCTACTGTTTGGCTACCATGACCCAAAAAAACCCCTCAAAAATAAGCAGCAAAAATTAAATGGTCTATAGGCAAGCTGCCAGACTTTTCTTAATGTTTTTTTAACTTTTTAATCAGTGTGATACCAGTGCTTTAAACATTAAAAACTCTGCCACCCTAGAAACTGAGCGACATGTACCTCTTTAATTAGTCTGTATCAAATACATAACAACCTCAAGTACATACAGGTGGTCCTAAATCACTTAACATCTTCAAGCCATTTACTTCTTGCACTCTTGTCTTTCTCTAAATATAACATCATTCCCCAGGACCATCTGATACTGGAACTGCCATCCAAGTTCACAAACATTGAGTACATTTACAGATTAAAAGTTTGGACAACGTTCATTAACAGTTACAAAACTAATCCGGACCAAGTTCATAAAATGCGAGAACTGTTACAGAAGAAAAGCTTCAACAAAGTCATAAACATGGAGTACACTTACAGCTGAAAAATTGGGATCAAGTTCATAAACAAAGAATAGTTGAATTATCTGTATAATCATATGACTAATTAAAAATTTAGCACATGTATATAATCAACAATTGAATGCATTCTTGCTATCCATTCCATGCAGGAAAGAAAAGATGTACTACAACTTAATAGTTTAATATCACACATAATGTCAGTGGTGGTGAGCATGATGTATCATGACATAATCATGAAAAAAAAGAGCAGTGAAAATTTAAAACACGAAACTGTAATGAAAGTGAAGAATATGATGGAAGAAGGTAATAAACTTAAGGATTTTGATCCAAAACATGTATTGCAGTTCACTACAACTTGCTAGGGTTTATTTAAGAAAAAAGTGAATGTACGGTAGTATGCAGTGTTGTTTAAAGATGGGTGGAAAAAAGGGTATAATATGATCATTTTTATCTTCTTCAGTGTCTTACAAAATTTATTGAAATGAAATGAAGCTATATATCAATACAGACAAAGAAATTGCAATCTCTTCTTTAATTCCTTCAAGCAGCACACTAAATTAAATAATGGCAAGGAGACAAAACAGATAGTTATCTTTCTACCATACTTCACCTTCTTATTCTCCCACTTCTCTCTTTCTCATCTGGAAAAAAAAGTCACATTTCTATTTTCAAATCCTAGTTTGAGCCCCAGATATAAGTACAGCTATAATGTTTCCACACATTGGTGTCCTGTTATTACATTTTTCACTAATCCAAAATCCCAATGAC